TTAACAAGTTTACTGATGACTTTGATTCTGTGTGCACACTACGTTTTCTCAGAAGCGTCACAAAATCCATGAAATTGTATATTGCCCCCTAGGCAATAATTAATCCATCTTGGTATTTGAATAGAATTAACACCTTCTAACTAAGACCAAAATTTTTGCCTGTATAATTAAAGGCGTTAACCGCCCTGCTGGGTCAAATAATTTCGAAATGGAAAAGATTTTCCTTTTAGTTATCGGTCACCTCTAGTGACTTCATACTATAAGAAAATGAGTCAGTTAAGTCATTCCAACGAATACCTAATGTCTTTGTTGAACTCATATCTTTAATTCTTCATTTAGCAGATCTTCTGATCGGACGTTAGAAAGAAGGGTCGGATGAGTTGCCGTTATCTTCTTTAACGGAAATCCAGCCAAATTCAAAACACAAATTAATTGTTTTTCCGCTTCCAAAGCTGAGGCAAGAGAATGACCTCCAGTCAATACATCATCAACATATATCTAACTTTTAATTATTTTCGATGCAATTGAGCATTTATCTCTTGACTCTTCCGCCAATTGCAACAATTAACACATTTCTGTAATATTTCCAATGCATTTTTGGCATATCGTAATATTGCCTAATGGAGGCCATATGCATTTTGTTCTTTCTTTATAGTTTTATGTCCTTGTTTTGAGTTAACAAAGCAGATATGACCCAGAGATTATCTTTTGCCGTTCTATCAGTTCTTCAAATAGTATATATATATATATATATATATATATATATATATATATATATATATATATATATATATATATATATATATATATATATATATATATATATATATATATATATATATATACTCGTCCTCGTAGTTCGGTAATCTCAAACCTACTCAACTTAATCCCAAAGATTCCTGACTACAGCTCATCAAAGTAGCGGAACTTTTAAACTTTGAGTTAGAGCCGGAACTACATTAACAGAACAAATCCTTAAAACAACATCACCAGATGCAGCAGTAATCTATTGTATCAGCGGATTAATTTTCATTCAGTTAAAAACCACTTGAGGAGAATGCTTGCTACTCTTACTTTTATGTATGTAATGTATGTATGTATTTATGCATCTGTATATGTATGTATTAGTTTTTTCCTAGTCTTCACAACTCAAACATAAATCCCATTAAACCTATATAATCTTGATCAGCTTTGTAGTAAATTGTTAAAAAATGGGTGGCTCAGAATCTTAAATAGACAGACCAATTGCCAATGTAGTAAATGACATTGTGCTTAAGGTTGAGCGTCCTACTATTTATTTTATAATAATTATTGTAACTATCATTAAAATTATATCAGGGTTGCTTCAGGGTTGGCTGAGTAAAATTTACATTTGGTTTATGTTCTGGTTCGTATATATTCAAGCAATAAAATTTATTTAAGTTGCTAATAATTAAACTTTGGAGTAATTCTTTATTCCGAAACAAAACGAAACGAGACGAGACTTTCATTTCTTTGATTGTTGCCCTAACCATGTTAAAATCCAGTACTCCACATGGCTGGATAAAAATACTCCCATGGACCAGAACACACAAATAAATATAAATATATATAAATATATATATATATATATATATATATATATATATATATATATATATATATATATATATATATATATATATATTTAAATGAAATTAACCCCAATTTAGAGGACAATGAGGAGGATAATGAATCTTTAAGCAAGTCACTAAACAGGTTACTTTAAGGACAGGAAGAGCCAACAGCTAAAATGCCTCAATCAGCAACAGAATTTTCAAGTTTGGCCACAAGATCCATACCATATCTAATCAGCTCAGGAGTAACAATAGAGGATATAATTAAGACTCTAAAAAAACGCTTCCAATGAACGGGTCAAACTTGTCATGGAAGCCGGTACTTTTTCAAACTTAAATGATTCGATAAGTAAATTCATAAACACAAGTACTGAAGTTAGTACAAATGCTTCAAGTATAATGTATATATGTAACCACGGACGTGCTTATAGTAAAAACTATCAAAGAGGGACTGGTCGTAATAACGGTGGCAACAATGACGGTAATTACAGCTGGAATGGTCAACAAGTCAAACTATTCCAACAAACACGGTAAAAGAAACCGAGGAAATAGCCACGGTAAGAGGTGTACTAACACCCTGGGAAACGACCGAGTTTATGCGAAATAAATAAGGTGATAGGCGTGCATTTCCGTAGTAGTGAAGTGTGTTAGGCTTATAAATTGTAGCGACGTAAAAGGTACACTGTTGAAGCAAAGATAGTGCTAGATATTTTCGTTGTGTAAAAAGAGACATGATAGGTACGTAGTGAAAGATTCTGTCGATCTATCTCTCCATATATTAACGCAACAGACATGTAGTTTAAAGTGACTAGTTTATTCGTTTATTTTTTGAGTGCACATATATTTCGTCAAAATGAATTTTGTTTAATTCATTCAACATCAAAGGATGTTGAGCGAGTATATTGTATCGCTTTATTTAGAACTGGAATAAATTGCTATGTTTTGTGTAACTAAATGTACCAAATTAGGTAGTTCCTTTACAGAAACAAGAAAGGAATATTTAGATAACGAAAAGGAAATCCGCCGTATGAAAAAATTTACATACTCGGATTGCATAGACACCTTGGGAGTGCGGTATGCGACTAAAAATATCGAGAGAGTTCTAAACGGCATAGGTGTTTTTGTGCCCATTGAAATTCCACGTTTAGATATCGATTATTTAGCTGAGGTGAACAGCTGTAGTTCTTCGGAACAGTATGGGAGAAATGCCCTACTGCTCCATCCACAGCCGCCAGATATTGAAATAACGGTAAACTTTATGGATGCAGCATTTGATTTTTGGGAGGAGGTTAGAAGAGGTATTTTCTCAAGAATAGAAAACATCGATAGGAACTTTCAAACATTATCGTCACAATACGTGCGGTATTTAAATGTAGTTGGAAAACAAGATGACTACATAAGTTATTAACATTTTCTTAGATTTTGTTACCGCATAGTGAGAAGTGGGAACAATACAAGAATAGCACCTAATAAGGTGAACATGACGTATGTTGATAGTGTTTCAGGTAGTTTAGGGACTCATCAAAAGGTAGTTGAGGACTTAGAAGCTATCAAATGAAAAAATGAAAACGTTCGCGTTGATGCTCCGCGAGTCGAAGAAAAAATAAAGCGTAAAATTAAAATTGAAGAAGGGCTGCCAACAAGGAATATGCAGGAACACAAGAATCCTGTATTTGCTCCACCTGACGAAGAAGAAAGTGAAACCCCGGCCAAGGATTGTAGTAGCGATGGATATAAAGAGAAGATTGATAACTTCCGTCTGGAACGCCTGGGATGGTTCAGAAGTCGTGTTGAACATAACAACATGGGTATAAATAACGACGTATCCATGCAGAAGATGTGTCATTGAATTATGACAAGGATTTAAAAAATATCACAGGTATCTGGTCATCTGGTTGGTGGATGTCATGGGTGCAATTACCTAGTTTCAAGTAGCATACTTCGGAGATTATTATTACGTTAGAAATTAATTATAAAATAAGATATAACTTTAGCACAGTTTTATTCAATTCTTAATATTAAGAAAATGATGTTTATTTTATATAATTTAAAAAAATAGAATCGATCGATCTAATTTGTTAACAGATTAGGATCATTAAAGGCCGGGAGTATGTTTAGTTTTGAAGAAACTGTACATGTTATAAAAATATTTTGTGTGTTGAATGTACTTCTTTAAATTCTTATCTGATTTTTATTTGTCTTTTCCGAAGAATGTAAATTAGTTAATTAAAGAAAACACTTAATATGCATGTGTTTTCCATATGCTAGGTTTATGGTCGGTAAAAAATAATGTAATAAATGTCACGGCCATAAATAGAAGATAAGAAAGGGTCGATCACAAATTAGGTACGTTTCGTTTTCTCCCACAACGTAATGTGTGCGTGGGGTGCATTAGATATTTAACGCACAGCGTGCATTAGTAAATAAAATGCATGTGTAAATGTATTAGATGTAAGGTTTAGTGTTAAGAAAATGTTTTTAAATAAATTGAGTTCTCTTCCAGCCACGGAACGAAAAACATCATTTCGCGGCGTTTTCCTTTTCTTTTTCTAGTTACACCGCTTTGTGACGAGGTTAGAAGTCGACCTCATCATTTTGTGACCCCGACGTTAAAGTATCGCGTGTAGTTAGTTTTCCCAAACCAAACCAATTTCTTCTTGGAGTGACAATATGAAATATAAGTCTGGTCACTGTGGGATTTCCGGATGGGTTTCCTTTATCAAATAAGGTGGTCAAGAAGAACTTTCGATGCTAATTCCTAAAATTGACACAACAAAGTTGCATCCTTGTTTTTTTCTTCAGAGATATATGTTACTTCTTTTAAAAACGCATACTTTTAAAAAATATAAATAAAATATTTATCAATACATAAAAAATTCAAACTTTACACGTAACTACTGAGCTATAAGTCTAGCAATGGCTAGAACCGGCTAAAATAGTTTAAATTTAACATCAATTTGACAAGGACATAGTTTTATAAGAAGAAAATTATCAAGAATTACGACTCAAGAACTAATTGTAATCATGGCTTTTCATGTTTTTGTGAGGCAAATTTTGAAAAATTATAGAATGCTTATTACTACTATGTGATTTCATGTTTTACAGTTATAAAATAAAAACAGGGACTTTTTCCTTTGATTATACTGCTTATGATTTTGATAACTTGTGATTTCAACTCTATATCATCCAGAATAAGTATATATAGAGAAGAATAAATTAAAGAGTATTTTCAAAAACGTTCGAATCCGCAAACAAAATTTATAGTATTGCCGCAAAATGGAGAGTATATAAAACAGCAGACAGAATTCACCAAGATAATGGTTATTGAGAAACATATACATTAAATGCATTAATTACATTAATTTATATGTAAAAAAGTGTAAACCAAAATATTCAACTATTTACCTTGATTTTGCCAAATCCAGTTTGGTCCTCTAACTACCCTAATCCCTGGTGGAATGGCTGCACGCATTTCTGAAAAAAGATAGACCAAGGGTTATAGTAAATCTTAAAGCATTTTTTTCAATTCTAAATTAAATCTAAATCTATCAATTTTATTGATTATTATTATTATTATTATTATTATTATTATTATTATTATTATTATTATTATTATTATTATTATTATTATTATTATTATTATTATTATTATTATTATTATTATTATTATTATTATTATTATTATTATTATTATTATTATTATTATTATTATTATTATTATTATTATTATTATTATTATTATTATTATTATTATTATTATTATTATTATTATTATTATTATTATTATTATTATTATTATTATTATTATTATTATTATTATTATTATTATTATTATTATTATTATTATTATTATTATTATTATTATTATTATTATTATTATTATTATTATTATTATTATTATTATTATTATTATTATTATTATTATTATATTATTATTATTATTATTATTATTATTATTATTATTATTATTATTATTATTATTATTATTATTATTATTATTATTATTATTATTATTATTATTATTATTATTATTATTATTATTATTATTATTATTATTATTATTATTATTATTATTATTATTATTATTATTATATTATTATTATTATTATATTATTATTAGTATTATTATTATTATTATTAGTATTATTATTATTATTATTATTATTATTAGTATTATTATGATTATTATTATTATCCTATTTATTATTATCCTATTATTATTATTATCCTATTATTATTATTATCCTATTATTATTATTATCCTATTATTATTATTATCCTATTATTATTAGTATCCTATTATTATTATTATCCTATTATTATTATTATTCTATTATTATAATTATCCTATTATTATTATTATCCTATTATTATTATTAATCCTATTATTATTATTATCCTATTATTATTATTATCCTATTATTATTATTATCCTATTATTATTATTATCCTATTATTATTATTATCCTATTATTATTATTATCCTATTATTATTATTATCCTATTATTATTATTATCCTATTATTATTATTATCTTATTATTATTATCTATTATTATTATTATTATTATTATTATTATTATCCTATTATTATTATTATCCTATTATTATTATTATCTATTATTATTATTATCCTATTATTATTATTATCCTATTATTATTATTATCCTATTATTATTATTATCCTATTAGTTATTATTATCCTATTATTATTATTATCCTATTATTATTATTATCTATTATTATTATTATCCTATTATTATTATTATCCTATTATTATTATTATCCTATTATTATTATTATCCTATTATTATTATCCTATTATTATTATTATCCTATTATTATTATTATCTATTATTATTATTATCCTATTATTATTATTATCCTATTATTATTATTATCCTATTATTATATTATCCTATTATTATTATTATCCTATTATTATTATTATCCTATTATTATGATTATCCTATTATTATTATTATCCTATTATTATTATCTATTCTATTATTATTATCCTATTATTATTATCCTATTATTATTATAATCCTATTATTATTATATCCTATTATTATTAGTACCTATTATTATTATTATCCTATTATTATTATTACCTATTATTATTATTATCCTATTATTATTATTATCCTATTATTATTATTATCCTATTATTATTAGTATCCTATTATTATATTATCCTATTATTATGTATTCCTATTATTATTATTATCCTATTATTATTATTATCCTATTATTATGTATTATCCTATTATTATTCTTATCCTATGATTATTATTGATCCTATTATTATATTATCCTATTATTATTATTATCCTATTATTATTATTATCCTATTATTATTATTATCCTATTATTAGTTTATCCTATTATTATTATTATCCTATTATTATTATTATCCTATTATTATTATTATCCTATTATTATTATTATCCTATTATATTATTTATCCTATTATTAGTTATTATCCTATTATTATTATTATCCTATTATTATTATTATCCTATTATTATTATTATCCTATTATTATTATTATCCTATTATTATTATTATCCTATGATTATTATTATCCTATTATTATTATTATCCTATTATTATTATTAATTATTCTCCGATTATTAGTATTATCCTATTATTATTATTATCCTATTATTATTATTATCCTATATGATTATTATCCTATTATTATTTTATCCTATTATTATTATTATCCTATTATTATTATTATCCTATTATTATTATATCCTATTATTATTATTAGCCTATTATTAGTATTATCCTATTATTATTATTATCCTATTAGTATTATTATCCTATTATTAGTATTATCCTATTATTATTATTATCCTATTATTATTAGTATCCTATTATTATGAGTATCCTAGTATTATTATTATCCTATTATTATTATTATCCTATTATTATATTATCCTATTATTATATTATCCTATGTTATTATTCCTAGTGCTTAAGCTCAAAGCTACTAGGTGGGTCAGTAGGTGCGGATAACTGAACGGCCTCCAGATATGTAGGTTAGCTGCGAATAAAATAAGCAGTCCCAGACCATTGAGCGGTGAAGGCCGAGGATAGGTTATAAAAAGACATTAACGTCCGATGAAGCCTCTCACGACATGGCGAATGGAAGCCGCCATCTAATTATGCAGCCACCCACAGGGGGTGCTTTTAACGATAAAGTAAATCGGAGAGTGATGCCTCCGTGGTCCCTCAATCAAGACGTCGACCTGGCTATGTAAATGGTATACGATACGAATACATTATGAAACTGATTGCCTCTGGCTGGCACACATGCCATTCTGTTACCTCAGTAAGTGGGAGTGAAATCCCGCCGAAATGGCTTTCAGGCTAATGACGTGCGTGTCTTCCGTCCCACTAAAACCCTGGCAAGGACTTAGAAAACGCTCTTTATTTCGTCGCCATTCAATTGGCCTTGCAGGTTCAGTTGATAACATCTTGATTAGTGCTCGACCCGGCTCTGAACATAAGTGCCCATAAAGCCTTGTGTCAACCCTTGCGAGGACCTCACTGCTTGCAAAGGCACCCTCGGGGTCACTAAGGAGCAACTGCATTACGCATAAGGATAACGGCTCTGAGTTGGGACCCAACAACAAAAAATGATGACAACAGAAACCCCAAAATCCACGGAAGATACAGTAAGCGCCTTTCGAATCAGCTCAAGGACAAAACGCACACCAGTAAATTCACCGATAGTAGCTGTAGAAGCTGAAGAAGCTGTGCTAATAAACGGTAAAACTCCACAGTCAACAGCAGTAGCAGAAACACTTATAGCTCCGGCTATGCACTCTCCCAAACAAGAGTACATACTGCAAATGAGAGCATCAGAGGAGGAAGCTTTAGAAAATGCGAGAAGCAATAAATAAACAGCGGAACATTAGTAGAGACGTACAAACTGGAGTCTCTGAATTAGACGAGTTACTGGACGTAATTGCCGATTACAGAAGGAACTGGAAAGCAGCAGAGAAAGAGAGACAAGCAAACAATCTTCCAAGAATAGAGCAAATGATGTGTTTGCCGCCGCAAACGCCTCAGGCTTCTCAATATAAGAGAAGTGCGCCAAGTCCAGTCGAAACTAACCCGGAAAAAAGGCATAAGAAGAAGGCTGTAGATACTTCCAAGAATGTTATACCGATCCGAACACAAGCGGAAGATGACGCAAAATGGAAAATCGTAAGCAAGAATCGGAAGAAGAAGGCTAAGAATAGACCCGATGCGGTAATTATTAAGCCAAGCTCTGGGCACAGTTACTCAGACGTTCTTAAAAATATCAGGCAAAATGTCAGACCTGAAGAAACAGAAGTAGCTATACGATCCATTAGCAAAACCAAAACAGGGGCAATACTTTTGGTCATGGCAAAAGGTGGACAACATGAAAAGTTCTGTGAGGCCATTAAAGTCACCCTTAAGGAAGCAGCTTCAGTAGAGGAAAGAAAGCCTAAGGCCACCATCGAAATACAAGACCTAGACACCTTGACGACTACAGAGGAGGTACAACTTGCGGTACATGATGCTACAAAAGCTGCAATCGCAGACATTGGGGTACACCTTACAGCTCCAAATTATCGGGAACAAAAAAGAGCTTTCGTGACGTTACCCGTAATGGAAGCCAACAGAATCCTGGAAACAAAACGGTTGAAGGTTGGAATGACAAGCTGCATAGTGAAGTACAGAGAAGAAACTAAACGCTGTTACAGATGTTTTGGTACCGGACACAAGCAGTATGAATGCAAAGGGCCTGACAGAAAGGGTATGGATCTGTGCATCCGCTGCGGAGAAAAGGGGCACAAACTTAAACAGTGCAAAAACAAACCAAAATGTTGCATATGCGTCGAACAAAAGAAAAATAACTTAGAGCATCTTCCTGGATCCCGGAGCTGTCCCTCAAGTAAACAGCAGTAGCTATGAAAATCCTACAGCTTAATATGCATCGAGGAAAAATCGCTGACGCTATCCTTCCGCAAATAATTAGAGAGCAGGAAGCAGAAATCATGATTATCAGTGAACAGTACTCACCAAAAACATGCGGGTTGTGGTTCGAGGATGAATCAAAGACAGCTGCCATATGGATTACCGATAAGAAGACCATGAGCCCAAGAAACGAAGGAAAAGGAAATGGTTACGTCTGGACACAGTTCGTCGATGTAACAATTATAAGCTGCTACCTTACGCCCAGTGACTGTATAGAGGAATTTCAATCGAAACTTAACGCGATAGAAGATACTGCCAGGAACATCGATGGGTTCATTATTATAGCAGGAGATTTCAACTCTCAAGCAATAGAGTGGGGCTCAGGAGTAACAAACTCAAGGGGCAGACGAATATTAGACATGATGGCCAGATTAGGTCTTGTGGTCGCAAATGTGGGATGTTCCCCAACATTTAGACGACCGGGCTGCAATGGTACCATACCTGATATCACAC